GAACATCACATGTATACTACAAGAACATCACATGTATATTACGTGAACATCGCAAAATATCATAAAACATTACATATATACCACATAAACATAAAAAATATCACTGAACATCACATTTATAACACGTGAACATAAAAAAATATAAAATATAATATATATACTATGTGAACACAAAAAAACAACATAGATCATCATAAAAAATAATAATAAAAGAAAATAAAATAAAAGAGAAATAAAAGAAAGGTAAAAATATAAAAAATAAAAATAATAATAAACACATAAACAGAAAATAAAATAAAAAAATGAATGATGCACTAATAAAAAAAAGAAGAAAGAAAAAGAAAAAATAAAGAAAGATAAAAATAAAAAACATAATTAGAAAAGAAACAAAGAAAATAAATAAAAACAAAAAAAGGAAAGAGTTAAGTAAAGAATAAAAAAAGAGAGAGAAGCTAACTATAAACCTACCGAGAGTTAAGAAAAAAAGATTGCAAAAGAAATAGAGAGTTAAGCAAAAGAAAAAAGAGAAATATAATAGTAATAGGGTGGAAAAGATAAACTGGACGCTGCCCTTCGTGGGCCACCTCCTTTGCTGAACCGTCGTTATGTTACTTGTCAAGTGTCCCGTTCGTTTGGCTGATAACCTATGATTGAAAGTATTGCCGATTTATTATGAGAAAAAATACTATTATTAACTGAAAAAATATAACTTATAACACAAGCAAAACTGGGCAAAGGACGTACGGACGGGCAGGACTCGCACGCGGGAGCGGGAATAATCAGCGCGGTGCACGCGGGAATCATGGACGCGGTGCTCCGGTCCGAACGTTTGGACCGGACGATTCGGCGTCATCCTGCGTCTCGCACCACAAAACTAGGCAGACTCCAAATTTTCGTGGAACCCTTACCTTAAACGTGCGTACGCGTACCTGACGAGGGATTAATTGGTATTATTATCCTCTCACCTTATCCTTAGCTACGCTGTGGCAGTGGCCACCGTATCTCCACGTCTTCTTCGATCCGTGCCTTGGAGATGGGTCGGGACTCGGGAGTCGGGACTGGAGACGACGACGCATGCTCACTTTGATTCGGTAATGGTGTCTAAGCCGATATTCGTATGTGTGGACGCTCCGTTTATTTGGCCGCGACGCTCTATCCAAACTACTCCCTTCTATCCACTGTCCACTCAGGAATTTCTAAAAAAAAAAAAACTGGTCTGTTAGGACGAAAAATGACTAATAAGTAAATATTTGTAGTTTTGTCGTACGTTGTGATCGGATGTGGCCTAACATTCAATGACACAGGGTTTATACTAGTTCAGGCAATGTGTCCTACGTCCAGTTCCAGTCGGTCGGAGACTTTATTCCTAAGCCCAGGTGCTCGAAGTTTGTTGTGGGGATACAAACGAATAGGAAAAAGCAGGGGGTGTCGAAGGTCCGATCGAACTCTGAACCGAAGGGTCAAGAGTGACGGGAGCTCCAACGTGCGCTAAGTATTAGAACGTATGCTCTGTATAGCTTTAGAGTTCTAGAGCTGTAGAACTGTTCGAGTGCTCAGAATGTCTAAACCTTAGCAGAGAGAGTTGGAATGACCATCCCTTTTAGGAGAGAGCGCATCCCCTTTTATAAGTGAAAGGGATGGCCTTACAAGTGAGAGGGATGAAGAGAGAGAGTGCTCGTGTTTTACTAAGTCTTGTTGCCCACGTCATTAGGTATAAGACGGTCGTCGGCGCCCACAATACTATTTATGTCAGACGCGTGTGGCAGGCTTTACCGTGTTCGCCTGGTATGGCAAATGATAGCGCCCACAACACTGTAAGGCAAATGCCGGTGCCCACAACACTGTTCGGGTTTTGACATGCCTAGAAGGTTGCAAAGCACCCTTCTGGCATGGCCTGACGGTACTGTCCTGCAGGTGTGCAGGGTACAGTCCTCGATGTTGCGGTTGACTTAAGCGCCTTGCCTTATTTGCTTTGCCTGATTCTTAGGTCCTCATCGAGCGGGCGTCCCCGGTCGGTCGTTCCCAGTCAGCTCCGACCACGTCGGTCGGAGAAGAGCTGTAAGCATAGGTTCGGTGTATTCCCGGTCGGAAAAGCGGGTCGGAGTCGGAAGCGAGCGTCGTCCCCTTCTTGGCCGGGCCTTCCGGTCGAAAAAACGGGTCGGAGTCGGAAGCGAGCGTCGTCCCCTCCTTGGCCAGGCCTTCTGGTCGAAGACTGGATCGCTCTTTCGGCCTGTCGTTAGGTATCTAGGTCGGTCCAGGAGTCGCGCGTCGTTGTAATGCCGTCTGCTGGGCCAAGTTTCCGCTGGAAAGCGGACCCATCGGGGACCTTGGGTTTATCAACCCGACATGTTCTTTTCTGTCTAGCAGCACTGTTCCTTCCTATCGCGTCTCACCCCGCGCGTAGCTCGTGCCGCTTGCGCGCAGCGCTGCGCTGTCGCCCACGGGCCTGTTCACTTGAACTTATCAGCCGACTTATCAGCTAGAATGTACAGTGTTTTTCTCTCACAACAAAACAGCTTCAGTCGGCTTTAATACCAGCCGAACAGGCCCGTCGGCCACCAGCACAACCGCGCGCTCCCACCGCCTCCTCACTCCTTCGACCCGGCATCGCACTGCCCTCCCCATCCACCTGTCATGCCACTTACACGTAGCGCCACGACACTGTCCGAGCCCCATTGGACACCAGCGCAACCGCGCGCCATCACTGCCTCCTTGCTGCTATGTTCGCTGAAAAAACTGTTTGTTCGTTGAAATGGTACGCTTCTCTTATGAGCCGTACTGTTTCAACGAAGAAACAGTTTTTTTCTCTAAAAAAAATCAGCAAATAGTATTTTCAGACATATTTTTTCAGCAAAGCGAACAGGGCCACCACTCTGCCCCTAGCTGCCTGCCTACCACTACCATACCATAAGACCAATCATCAATCAAGCGAATAGTGCAGCCCATGATTTCGTCACACGGACCGTGGCTTCATGGCCAAGGAACAACCCAAGGATACGCGTACACCTGCGGCGCCACCTCCATGTTTCATGTGACTTTGTGACGCATGATCGGCGATGATTGGCGGTGACACCGGCCTGGCTGGTGTCGACGAACGTTCTCCTCGTTGTTCTGTACGCTGTTTGGATCGGAAGCAGTACACCCCTGTACGGCTGTACTGTCGCAGTACACAGGCCGTCATCTTCACCGTTTGCTGCGTGCGTCGTCGCTGTCATTCAGTTGCAGCCTGCAGATGCTGGCTTTGCTGCTTTGCTTGCGACAAAGCATTCAGTTTAGTTATGGCTTGAATGAGCTGCTGTCTTGCTGACAGGCAATCGATTCATCCGTCATCCGTGCAATGTGGGAACTCTCCTAGCAGTGAAGGATAAGGGCGCGTTTAGATGGCGAAAATTTTTGGTTTTGGTTACTGTAGCATTTTCGTTTGTATTTAGCAATTAATGTCTAATTATGGACTAATTAGGTTCGAAAGTTTCGTCTCACGATTTCTCACCCAACTGTGCAATTAGTTTTATTTTTCGTTTATATTTAGTACTCCATGCATGTGCCGCAAGATTCGACGTGACACTTTGGGCTGAAAATTTTTGGGAACTAAACAGGGTCTAAGTACCATCTTCTTGTCAAAAACAAAAAAGGATAAGTACCATCTTTCTCGGGCAAAAAACGGTCGATTAGGCAGCAACCGTGACGATTTGACGATATGGCGCCCCACACACACGGAACCGCTCAAATGAGGATCAAGGAGGGTTTGTTCAATAAACCCAATGCTTGCTACAACTGCCTTCTTTTTCAACATGTTCTCTTAGGATAAAGATGCGCAAACCTTTTGCATGATTGAGAAGAAAAAAAACTGCCTCTTTTTTGAAAACTAACTGCGCCACCTTTGCGCCTCTGCTCTACTAGTCTATACACAAATTATACGTGCCAGAAGACGCCTAGTAGTAGGTCAGGCTACTGGACACATGGAAGAAGGTACTAATCACCTTTGGGTTTGTCTGCCACTGGCACGGAAATGCGGTGGCCCAAGGCAGTTCAACGCATGTCTGTGTTTGTTTACTTGATAAAAGCAAACGGGAAGCAGACCAGAGCAATATACGGTCCTGCCTCTGGAGCCTGCTGCTTGGCATTGGAAGCATGCGCTGATCAGTGATGGTCCAGCCGGCCGGAATGCCTGTACACGCAGTGGGGTTCTTCACTTCTCTTCATGTATATCATCCATACCTCACCTTTGATGTCTTTGCTTAAAATGTCAGAAGCGCCACCAACCTGTCCTGATTGCCTGCCAGCGTGGTGCGTGCCTTCCACCATCGGGTGGTTTTGATACACATCCACCTCAAAGTGCTCGTTTCAGCAAGCCGAACGGAGCCATTGTTTCAACTGGGCACCGGACGTAGGGACACCAAACTGACGTCGCGATGCAGTCCGCTTGGTTTGGGATGAGAAACCTGCCTGGGCCGGTGCGGTGGATTTCGGTTCCCAGTTGGGCTGCGCGGCGTTTTGCTCTCCATTGGTCCGCTACAGCCTGCCGACAGGCTAACCATGAGGGCCCAGTGTCTCAGTTGAGTCGAGAGCATCTTTCCCCAAGAGACGGACACGGCACAATAAAAGGAACAAGAAACATTCTTTGGTGATTGATTCCACGTGTATGCAATCAGCCTGCAGTACAAATGAATCGCCTGGTATGGTATCAACCAGTGGTGATGTCGCCTGCCGTATGCGGCGTGGTGTAGTGAAGTTCACTGGATGTGGATCCTGGGCTTGAGGACGAACATCCTGCACGAGTGCGGCGCGACGTCGAAGCTCATCTTGTCCGTGAACGTGGCGTCCACCGTCTCGTGCTGCCACACACAACAACGACACCCGACTCAGTGTCAGCCAAGGCTCGCTGGTTCGCTGACCGATTCGCCCATGCGTATGCTCAGCGCTTACGCCAAACCACCGGAGAAGTATGAACATGAAACACGTCGTCGGAACTAGGATCCGGCAATTGATGATGTACAGACCGTTCCATCCGCCGGGGCGCGCGTACTCCGACCACACCTCGTTCTGGTCCGCCGTGGCGATCATGCTGGAAGAACGCCGGTAACGACAGGTATCATATCCTTATCCTCTCAGTGAAGCAAACAATCTGGACAGGACAACGGCGAGGCCGCAACGCAAGAAGCAGTGAGTCAGAGATCGATGTTCTGACCTGTCCCAAGTGTCGGCGATGTCGTTGGTGGTCCTCCAGCTGTTGCCGTAGGCCGCGCCCCACTTCGCCGGGTGCATGTCGCCCCTAGCGATCGATCCCCGGCAAGGCGAGAGGCATGAGTCAGAGTCACTCACTCGGCACGAAACCGATCATGGTGATCAAGAGACGTCTGGTTACCGTACCATTCGCAGAGCGAGAAGTAGATCGGCCGCCCCACCTTCATCAGTGCTCTGCTCATCTCCGGGTACCTGTTCACGTGCCACAAAACCTGTCAGGTAGTACGTGCATTTACTCGGCTGCCTGAAGTACCTCAGACAGTCACATGCCGATGTGATGATGCCATTGCCATCGATCAGGGAGATGTTCAGATGGACACTGGAGGGGCTCAGGGAAGGAGGGCATGTGTGTGTCTGACTGTCTGACCTCTCCAGCGGCCTGAGGTCGCCGTTGTTGCAGTTGTCGTACATGAGGTAATCCACTCCCTGCGTGCGTCGACACAGCCAATGAACAGGTCGCAAATCACACATGATCTTCCCTTGAAAAAAATGGTATCAGATGGGGGCAGATGCTGCCTTTTAACTCACCCATGCCGCGAAGGTCTTGACGTCCTGCTCCTCGTGGCCGAGGGACCCGGGCTGGACCTTGGCGCGGGTCTGGAACCTGCAGAGACAATTGTTACACAGACGGAGACGGTGGTGGTGAAAACTGAAAAACAAGTGCCTGGGCAAGCAAGCTGTTCGTTCCCCTCGGGTTAATGAATGCTGTGGGCAAGCAGAAGCAGGTTTCTCTTCAATCTCACCCGGCGTCGGAGTCAGCGCCTTGATCCCGTGCGGGAACGTCTTGGTGTTGGCCACCAGATTCCCCTGCAACGCCCGGATCAGGTGCTTACTGCTTAGCACCAATTGCTATTCAGTTCAGTAAAGTTCAGACTTGAAGCATCGCTTGTATGTACCTTAGCATCACGTTGTGGCTCTGCCCAGCAGTCATCTGAGAGATGGGGAGAGAGAGACGAACAAGAACACATGTAATAACAAGTTAATAACCCATTCAGTTCAATTAAAGATTGTTTTTTTTATCGTCCGAAAAGAAAAGAAAAGGTATCAACAAGTAGCTGAAGAAGCCGGGAGACTAGCGCACCGATGTTGACGTATCTTTAGCCGAGAGCAGCGAGGCCGGTCGACACGAGTGCGTCGTCAGCTGAGGACCATCAAGGCATGGGCGGCAACCGAGAGAGAAAGAAAGAAAGAAACAGATAAGAGCGCAAGCTCATCATCAGCTGCTTTATTCAGCAAGCAAGCAAAGCAAGCTCGACTGCTAGAACGCGAAACTGAAGAACAGAGGAAGTACCGGTCTCCCTGATGACCACCTCGCCGTTGCCATCGCACTGGAAGTGATTCCAGCTGTTCCACCTGCGGTCGGTTAGAAATCAAATGAGAAAATGAGACCAACACGCCCGCGAACGCAGCCAGACACTTGGCAAGATGTCATCACACACACAAGGAAAAACCCCCAAAAGAAAGTTACCCCATGGGAGGGGCCGAGCCGAGGCCATTGGCCAGCATGCTCCGCCGGTGCGCCTCCTCCACCTGCACCCCCTTGCCGCCGCAAGCCACGACCGCCGCCGCCAGCAGCAGCAGCAGCGCTAGCCTTGCCGGCGACGAACCACCACCACCACCCGCCATTAATTAGACAAATCTATTTTTTTATGATCATGGGAATTGGTCTTCGTCATAGCGTGCATCACAGCTCACAGTTCAGCTTTTGCGGCCAGTTCAACGCCTGTTAATTAAGAGCAACAAAAAAAAAATTTCTTCATCTTATGTTGTTCGTCTAATTCGACTCTGACGATTTCTCCTTTGTATTTTTCCGAGGATACATGGACGATTTTTCTGGGCCTTAACTTATGTCGTCCTTTTTTTTTATCTGGCAGAATCCTGAACGGACTCACGTCCGATTTACTTTGTCACTGGCCATTTTTTCAATCGAACTCATGTTCATTTTGCTCTTATTGTTGTTTTCCATTGAGGCCGATTTTTTTATTTTATTTCTTACGGTCATACATGTCAAATTTTCAGTTTTGTTTTTCACAAATTTTTGAATCATTTTTATCCCGTTCCAACAAATATAATAAGTGTAAAAAGCAATGACCTTGACTCTTTCCTAAGTACCAAAGATTCCTACCACACTAAGTTAATGATGTATTTTTATCTGATTAGGAATAAAACTTCTCACAGTGAAACTTGAATCTGTCGATGTTCCAACTTATCAAACAGCGAGCTAAGGTCTTCCGATATTTGTTGTCCAATCTAGCCTAAATAAATTCAGAAATACTATATAACACACATGTGTTTTAAACAAAAAAAAACAAATAAATTTATGTATCATGGATTTTTTTTATCTCTCTATGTCTCTCTCTCAACTCAGCTATGATGACCAGTCCTATTATTCGGCAACGCAGAGACACGTTTGCTAATCTATATCTATATCTCAATCTCCACTCCCTATTCTATCTAATCCACAGAGATCACGTCATCGACTTATGTGGACCATCCGACTCTTACACTCATATACGTCCATCCGTACATCTGAGCCGGCCACCAGTCAAGAGGGCCGCCGCCCTCATCTCCCCAAGCGAGCTGTAGAATCGACGCCTCACGCCTGCCCTTCTCTGTTCTCTCCCGTATTGCTTCCCCTTCCTCTCCCCTGCTGTTTCCCCTTCTCCACCGATTCGTGTCCTTCTCATAGAAAAAAAACTTGTTTCGATCGGTCCGCCAGCTATCTGAAACGTACATGCAAATAAGCAAATTGCAATGCTTATTTTCCTCTTCCCTGTAAAACAGGCCTAGGGTCTTCGTGATGGCAAATCATTATCCAATCGATGTACACCGGTTTAATGCAGACTTGCAGTTCGGACATCAGGAGCAAGGGCGGACCACTGAGCATCTACTCTCCAGCTCCGCCATGTAGCAGCAAGGAAGCCACACAATATGTCACTGACGATCTAACAAGATCCTGCTCATGGTGAAAAAAAAAATTTCATGTGTTGAAATTATATAAAACACATGGTTCCCAAAATCTGGCGACAACGGATATAAAAGTAGTTATAAAAGATTGCAATGCCCTCGTGCTCGCTCAAATAAATTTATGTATCTCTATGCAAATATGTTATTAATTGTTTTTGAGCATTTTAACGACAAATAAAAAAATCATCCATAATAGTCACCACATATAAAGAAAGACCAATTCTTGGTATGTCAATAAATAGCTAACTTGATATAAGCTTGAACAACTCGCATCTAGCAATGATACGGAATCCTATTACCGGGTATCCAATTGCAACGCATGCACACGTTTGCCAGGCTATATCTATATCTCAGTCTCCACTACCTATTCTATCTAATCCACAGAGATCACGTCATCGACTTATGTGGACCATCCGACTCTTACACTCATATACGTCCATCCGTACATCTGAGCCGGCCACCAGTCAAGAGGACCGCCGCCCTCATCTCCCCAAGCGAGCTGTAGAATCGACGCCTCACGCCTGCCCTTCTCTGTTCTCTCCCGTACTGCTTCCCCTTCCTCCCCCCTGCTGTTTCCCCTTCTCCACCGACTCGTGGAACCAATGTCTCGATGGCCACCACAAGCCGCCCTACTTCTTTCGATCGGTCCGCCAGCTACCTGAAACGTACATGCAAATAAGCAAATTGCAATGCTTATTTTCCTCTTCCCTGTAAAACAGGCCTAGGGTCTTCGTGATGGCAAATCATTATCCAATCGATGTACACCGGTTTAATGCAGACTTGCAGTTCGGACATCAGGAGCAAGGGCGGACCACTGAGCATCTACTCTCCAGCTCCGCCATGTAGCAGCAAGGAAGCCACACAATATGTCACTGCTACAAAACGGCATCTCTCTGACAAGATCCTGCTCAACTGTTGCTGTGACACTTTGAGCGCTTTGCTGGGACATCCGGCCGCTGTTGGCGGCCTTGCGGCGCGATGACCGACCGGTAAAATATTTATCCTTATCCAAACAAGATAATTAGCCTGTTCGTTCATTATTGATAAGTCATTTGTTGTGAGAGAAAAAATTTGTACCATGTTCTAAGCTCTAGGGACGTGAACATGCTGAATGATTCCTAATCCTAAGATTATGTTTATGATAGGTTGATTAGGTTCCTCCACACTTTGAAATAAATTGAACGGCAGGCCATTATCAGGACACGTTCAACTTTTTCCCGGAGTGTACATGCTGTCTGTACACGTAACCGGGAGAGCTCCCAAAACGTCCGGGAATCGTCAGGATAAACTATTTAGTCGAGTCATTCTGCTACACGTACTCAAGCTTAATTAAGGCGATATAAAAGCTTGGGGAAAAAATGGGCATCGGTTTGGAATACCCAGTGCAACGGGTAACTTTCAACATCGGTATCACGTGAGCGACTATTCCAATAAAAGGTCTTCAAGATTCCTCGTGCTGGATTCAAAGGCAGGACAATAAAATACTTTTGGGAAAAGTTATATGATGAGGAGTTCAAATCTTTCTTATTGGACCTGTATGTTTCCCTGTTGGTGGATCACTTCTCAGGCTTCTAACTTTTTTTTTTTAATATTCAAAACAATTATTCTCTCCATTTTAAAGATTCCTATATGTTTCCCTGTTGGTGGATCAAGCTCTCAGGCTTCTAGAAGCTTTTTTTTTATTAATATTCAAAACAATTATTCTCTTCATTTTAAAGATTTGACCTATAGGTCTGTGCTGGGCATAGAATTTTAGAAATGAAAAGATATGAAAAAACAAAATGAGAGATATAGAAGAGATGGGATAAAATATATTGGTAAAAGTCTAAATATATTATTAATTTTTGAATGTTGTAAGATCATTTTTTTGAAAAAAATTGAAATATAAGATCAAATATGTTTGGGAAAAATTGATACAAATCAAATGTTATAGATCTCATCAACCATGATCTTATAATTTTCCCATTTTATGTTTGATGAAAAGATCCATTTTCTCGATTTAATACTCCTCAAAAAAAGACTATGAAAAGTCAACAAAATAGATTTTGACCATATATCTTAAAAATCATTTTAAAAAAAAGCACTTTTAACACAGATCTATTGTCATCATGGTCTATATTTTCATATAATTTGATTAATAATTGTGATATCAAGTTTTGATCTTTTCTCTGGTCAAACGGGTCATTTCTAAATAGAGGAGTATATCTCTATCTACATCTAAAAAAGACATCTTTCACTTAGTGAGCTCATGCATCCGCGTTCTACCCTATTTCAATCATCTTTCACTTGGAGCTCAGGCATCCGCGTTCTACCCTATTTCAATACGAAGGCTGGATCCACGTATACATGTCCACGTCCGGTCATGAAAACCTTGGCCCCGGTACAAGGCACGGATAAAAAGGATTTGACAACACGCAAACTACACCTCCTTCCAGAAGTATGGGACTCGCGCACGAGGACGGGAACAAAATCGTGCGGCAATTCAATACTCCTGCCAGCCTTGACAGTCTACAAGCCCCTACAAACAATAACCTACAGACAGCCCCAAAAAAGGGTTAGGAAACACGCCCTGTTGTTGGCCTGCAAATTGCAGAACGCCTTCGTGCCTCGTGGGGGTTGGGTCCTTCCTTGGCTTGGGATGGATGGCATTGGCGCCGGCGCCGGCGCTGGGTCCCACACTCCGTCCCCATCCACACCGCTAAACCCATCCTCCGACGATTGCCAACCGCCGATGATGCCGCTGTGTCAGCGGTCGCACCGCGCCCGCGCGCGGCGGCAATGATTAACCCGCGCAGCGATAACCATCACACGCCCCTAATGACCGGGATTACGATTATTTTATTACCATCCACCCCGCTGTCTCGCCCCCCACCCACACGTTCCCTTCCATCCCCCAGCGCCGCTGCCACGTCGTCGCCCACCAACTCACCGGCGAGGTTTTAGGACGGACACCCAGCGCATCTCGCCGCGGCGGATGCCGTATATATCCGCGCGCCGAGCTTGAGGGACGCCCCCACCCCACCACCACCACCACCGCCCGGCCGCCCTTTCCATCGCAAATCACCAAACTGCCCCTCGTCGTAAAAGGAAGGTGACGAACGAACGAGGCAGGGGAAAGGGGAGAAGATTTTTCAGATTTTGCGGCAGCGACCTACCCATCTCCGCGAGAGAGACCCGACCGAGCGAGCGGCAGCAGCCAACTACCTTCCCCCGTCCCCGACATGACGCCGCATCTGCCCGCCGTCTCCTGCTCCTCCTCCGCCTCCACAACCACCACATCCCGCGCCGCCGCCGCCGCCGCCTACCACCATCACCACCACCTGCTCGACGCCGCCGCCGCGCCGCCGTCGTCCTCGCCGCACCAGCACCGGAGGCGGAGGCGGCGCCGGGTGCCGGGGTGCCTCCGCCCGCGCCCGCCGCGCGCCGCGTCCGTCCGCTGCTGCGCCGCCGCGGCGCCCGCGCCGCAGGCGGCCCTGCCCGCGGCGGCGCGCGCAGGGGCGGAGGCCACCACGCGGGTCTTCGTCGTGTCCGACCTGCACACTGACTACCCGGAGAACATGGACTGGGTGCGCCGCCTGCCCGCCGAGGTCGGGGCCGGCAAGGGCCAGGGCGTCGACGCGCTCGTCGTCGCCGGCGACGTGGCTGAGACCAGGGACAACTTCGCGCGCACCATGGAGGTGCTCAGGGAGCGCTTCGCCGCCGTCTTCTACGTGCCAGGGAACCACGATCTCTGGCTGCGCCGCGAGGGCGGACGCTACGTGAGTCCATTTCCTTTGCATCCGCTACGTTCGTTGATGCATTTCTTCCTTGTGCTGCAAGTAAGGTGTTTGACGAAATGCCTTGGCATACCTATCACGGCATATTATGCTGTTTGGTTAGTCCACTCTGATGGTTTGAGCTAACCCAGTAATTCCACTTAATTTTTGATCCAATGGTACATTGCAACGCTTGCCTGCAGCCTGGTTAGCGTGTCTCCTGTTTTAGGAGGCCTAATTTTAGACGCACTGCAGTGCAGAGTTTACCAATGAGGTTTTCATTTTGCTCATTGGTTTGTAGCAGCCCCGTCTATCTGAACTGCATTTCAGTTGTAAATGCTGTTTTGTGCTTGTAATATTGTAATTCTACTTGTTTCTTGACAGAAGGGTTACCATGGCACTCAGATTAGTTGTTGCCGGCTGATTCCCTATTTAGTAACTTATGCAAATTATTAGCTGCGTATAATCCACAAATGCTGCAAAGTGTTGTCTCAACTGGAAAAAAATGTAATGTGGGATTGTATTGTTAGATAGAGCATAGCATAAGTGACAGTACATCACATTCTTCTTGGAGTACATCATTCAGCTTTTCCTTTTTGACGAAATCATTACAACATTAACCTTATTTTCTAATATATATCATTGGTGAGGCTCTCTCAGTTACTCAAATTATTCCTTCCAGATGGATTCGCTGGAGAAACTGACTGCATTGCTTGATGCGTGTAGTGAGCTGGGTGTGGATACAGGCCCAAGAACAATAGGTCACTTGGGAATCATACCATTGTTTTCATGGTATCACAAGGTTGTTTATTTTTCTTGCTTCATTAACATTTAAGATTTTGTCCGAATTATAATGCACTACTTTCCTAGAATTATCCCGCTTTCTCATCTTGCTTAATTGTCCTTCAGAGCTTTGACAAGGAGAAGGATGTTAACAGTGTGCGTGTCCCTTCGCTAGAGATGGTAGGTTGGTCTTTCCCTCAATACCTACTCATTTGCAGAACACCATTAGTTACCAAGTACTGTTACTTAGTGCAGTTTAAGATTTCTTGAATTATATACCCCATATCCTCAAGGGGTTTGCTTGATTTATTTTGCAAAATTAGATATCTGAATATCAGCTATTTAAACCATGAGCACCAAACTAACAAACTAGCTCTCAAACTATAATGTTCAATGAGAAATGTAGCATGCATACAAGCCATAGGCACAAATATTTACTGGTGTGGACAAGCAAAAACAATCTTGTGCTCTTTCTTATTTTCTTATGTAGAAAATTGCACGATTCCTCTTGATATCTTTGAACTGATAGGTTTACGGTTTTGTATAATCAGGCTTGTAAAGACTTCCATGCTTGCCAATGGCCTTCAGACCTGACGAATGATGACGAGGCTCTTGCTCTTTACTTTGACAAGCTGAATGACAAGAATCATGATGCTATTGAAGAAGTGAAAAGTAGCAGCAAACAAATATTAACATTTTCACACTTCGTACCAAGGTGCATTGTGCTCCTCCTACCTAGACCTTCCATTTTTCTGAGCTTCTGTTTGACCTTCGGTTTTGGGTATGCTTGACTGAATTACTTGTTGAAATGCAATTAATGATAGCCACCCAATAAATACCTTCTTTGCTGCTTCCATTCCTCCTAGCATCTCAGTTTGTCTGTTGCATCTCTTTCTTGCTTTGTCAGCATCCTAAAGCATTTATATTAATTATTATTGGTAAGTGTGTTTCATTTCTTGTTGCATTTTTATGATGAAAACACCTCAAAGAGAAATCATCTTATCAATCAAGGTGCCAACTTGGAAGCAACATTTGTATCTCAGTATCTGCACTAGCGACTTCATATTTGACCCTTTTTTCACCCCAAAGGAAGACATTTTGTGTGGTTGTGTAGCATTTCAATTGCAAATCACATGGAGGAAAAATGGAAAACAGTAGTTTTCATACTGGCTGTCTAATTATATGAAATTGCAGATATACCGGCAATTGTGAATCTGTGATGGAGGCTATCCTTCTTTACCTAACTGGATTGTCTTGCCCCTGCTGTATTTATGTTTTCAGTGTTGTTTTGAAATTGCCCATTGAACATTTAGGATGTCGTAGTATGCATTCATGAAACTCCAAGCCCAAAACTAATGTCTTCTATACGACACTGCAGGCAAGAGTTGTGTCCGGAGAAACGCATGCTTTATTACCCATACCTTCCTAAGGTCATTGGCTCTGATTTTTTGGAGAGGAGGCTCAGAGATATACACAGCAACAGAAAAGATGGAGCAGCTTGCCATGTTTTTGGGCACACTCATTTCTGTTGGGATTCTGTGGTTGATGAGATCAGGTACTGATCTGGTGGTCTGGCCATTTCTGAGATCAAGATGCATGATGATTATTCTAACTCTAACGATATAAAATTCCTCCATTGCAGGTATGTGCAAGCCCCTCTGGCATACCCTCGAGAAAGAAAACGTCGGATGAACGGTGAAGGCTGGCTGCCATTTTGTGTATACCGTGATGGTTTCAACCCAGAAATATATCCGGCATTGTGGTCAGACTACTACAACAAGAACAAAAGAGAACCCGAGAACACTCAGCTCGCGCCGTGGGTTGCCAGCCATTTCGCGAAGTACCACAAGTTCCACTGACCCTTTCTGAATTCCCTTGGCTTTTAGCCGAAGTGGATGCGGTTCGTCTGTTCAGGATGGTGTTGAAACCTGCAATTTACCTGGGAAAAGGAATATTGACGTTCTACCTGTACATGAACTTTTTCTTGTTTCCACTCTTACCATAACTTTTGGGCAAGTAAGCGCCAGCCTCTGCTCGTAGTATGTTGCAGAAATCTGAATAATGTGTATAAGATTCTTCAAAGCCTTGCTGCAGAGATAGTGAAATATAGCTGATTCTGTTCATCTAACAAGCACCATCTGTCCTTTTTTTTTTGACTTCTCCCTAGTGGAGTTTTAAACTGCAAAGTCACAGATAATTCTGCTTCACCCTCATTACTATTTTAGGTTATTCTTAATGGGGCATTCGCAAATCATTTGTCTGAAATCTGTGGACGAAGAGGATTACACGTGGCTGGCGCCTGCCTCCATTCAGGCTTGGGAATGGAAAGTTCGCGTCGCGGGGCGTGCATCATTCCATCTTTCCCGTTCCTCCGATAGTCGGGCTATGTTGCGCTATGGATTGGAATTAGGGGACAGAAGCAGAAGAATCTCATAGTTCAGTGAATGCGTAAATGAATGATGGAATGAAACGAACCAGCGATCGATAAAATTGATCATAGGGTGTGAGAGGAGGCTGCACTTGTGCGGTAGTCGTCTGATGCAGGCGGGGATAACACACCCACTGCTACTTCCACTGTGGGCCTGTGTATTTGCTGCTGGGCATGGATGCTTCGCTTAGGCCCAAGGCCCACAGCTTCTTAATAGAAGAATCGATACAAATATATGTATTGAAGTCAATTCTTACAGCATTTGCTAAAAAAAGTCAATTCTTATAGCATACTAGGTAGCGTGCTCATGCGTTGCTATGGGACAGTTAAACTTTTATACTAAAAACACATGGATCGCACGATAAGATAATAATACTGTGAAATTAAATATCGACGTTAAAGTGACATTTAATTTAAAAACCAAAGTTCGTGAAATTAACACAGTCACGGAGAGCGCGGCGTCACAAGCTTACAAACTCTACTGTATAAACCTTTTCGTGCTAAGGCTACATGATATTTCATAATAATGCAAATCAAACAAGCAAAAGGCAATGCATATCTTGGTATTAAAGCATAGAATGAGATATAAGGTTCTTGGAGAGAGAGAGGGGGAGAAAGGGGAGGGAGTTAGGGAGGGAGAGAGATATTATTTTAATTTGTCACTTAGCCATACAACGAAGCCTAAAGCACGAAGCCAAAAATCACACAAACTAAGTGGAGGTTCAAAATCGTAACATTTGAACTTGAGCCTAACCAAAAGCTAACAGCAATAACTTGCAAGATTACTATATTCTCAACGCAATGAGTTCAGCTAGCCATCAATGTAACACTTTCAGAGATAATTTTTTTACAAAGCTGCATCCCATTCAAAAGAAACACTATAATTATGGTAACTCAATATAATATCATGGTAATTGTCGACAGAATATCGTCGACAGTCCTCTGAGGGGTATCCCACGAAGGTAGATTGATCGACAGATATGCGTGTAATCGAGAACAAGAAGACAACAGAGACACACGAGTTAGACAGGTTCAGGCCGTCAGTATGACGTAATACCCTACTCCTGTGGTCTGTTGGATTGTATTGGCTATCGTATGATATTGCGTGAGTTTGGAGGGGGTCCCGGCCCGCCTTATATAGTCCGAGGGGCAGGGTTACAAGTCGGTTAGATCTAGGAGATAACCGGAAAGTAATAACATATTACAGAAATCGTGGGATCAAACATATCGTAACAGATCTCGTAGTATCTTCAGGATATCTTCCCGGTGCCTTGCGGGAGACGCCGAGCAGCGTCGTGCCCCGCAAGGCTTCATCTTGTGGGCTAGGCCACCCTTGGGGGCACAGTCCATGTGGTCTGCCATGGGTATCCGGGGTCGTACCCCCCACAGCTAGTCCCCGAGCGCCTTGTATCCGTTGTGCAACGCCGTCTTGAGCTTGTCCGAGCAGGTGCGAACAAAGCCGAGCAGTCCAACTCATGTTCCGACCGTCGTGATGAGTTGCCGAGCAGTTGTGAGCCGTCGCCGAGCAGCATGAACCGTTGCCAAGCAGCGTGAGCCGTCGCCGAGCAGCATGAACCATCGCCGAGCAGCGTGAGCCATCGCCGAGCAGTGTGAACCATCACCAAGCAGTGTAACCTAAGTACGGCTTGCCATAAGGGTGTAAGGAGTTCAAGTTTAGAATAAAAAATTTCCTCATAGTGGACCAAGTGTGCCCACTTAGAGTCCAACCACGAGAAAGGGAGACAATCTTATTCAGCTTCAAAAGGCGCGGAGTCTTCAAGATTAAAGCAAACACACTCACCGCAAGGTAAAGTGTGCCCACTTAGTCCCCGAGCCTGATAGTAGGTGACGTAGTCACGTGGTGCCAAGGTCCAAAGTAGAAGAAAAGTAGAAGACCAGCCGAGCAGGCAGCCAGTCCCTAGGCATAGCCCCGAAATGAGAAAAGCACATTCACCGCAAGGTGAAGTGTGCCTACTTAGTCCCCGAGCCTGACAATAGGTGACGTAGTCACGTGGTGCCAGGGTCAGAAACAACAGTCAACAGAAGAAAGCCCCCAGTGCGGTGAGGAACCAAGTCGTATTGCTGACGGAGTCCCCGAGCCACAAGTGGAAATCTTGGAGAAAATAAATTGTTGAGAAAAAACTGGAGTGATGGCTGTACAGTAGTAATTACTGAGCCGTAACAGATGGTGGAGAAGTCAGCGAATACTCGATGAGCAGTAACAAATTATGGCGATAAATAGGCGATACGGGTTGTAGTTGCGCGAAAGCCCAGGTAACGGCCCACCACGCTGTTGCGAAGAATTCAGACATGAGCAAATTGTGGAGTGGTTTCCCAAAAACCCTCGAATGCGGAAGGTGGGGGGAGTGCTTTATAACTGTGCCACTGCACCCCGTGCCCCCACCTTTGCCACTTTGTCATTTCATCTTCCTCCTCAAGCCTCATATTTCTAGATTCATATTCTCACGCGCTTCCGCTGTCGATCCCAAACTAGATCTGAGAGATGGCACCGAAGAGGGGAGCTGGAAACCTGCAGAAGGCGAGCGCCAGAGTCAGCCATGATGAAGAGTGGGTGCCGTCGTGCACGGGGAAGGCGGAGCTCAACAGGATGGTGGATGCGGACGTTCTCTCTGACCGTGTCACCGTCGGATGGTGGCCAACTAGTGGTGAGCCCTTCCCAATGCCTCATACCGATGAAGTCATAGTGTTTGAGGATTATTTCTAGCGTGGGTGAGGATTTCCTGTTCATCCTTTCTTGAGGGATCTGCTAGAGTTCTAGAGAGTTAGTTTGTGTAATCTCCACCCAAACACCATCTTGCACATCTCCATCTTTATCCATTTCTGTGAGGCATATCTCGGAGTTCTTCCCCACTTCAACCTCTTCCGTCATCTATTCTGGCTGAAGAAGAAAGGTGGCGGTAGGTCAAAGGTGGTCGGCGGCGTGTATCTTCAACTCCACGATGGAATGGCGGGCGAGTACATCACTATACCGCTAAACACCTCGCTGAAGGGGTGGAATGCCAAGTGGTTCTATATGAAGCAGAGCCACCCTGCCATCCGCTGCGACGTCGACCACATCCTGAAGAGCTAGAAGAGCTAGTCGGAGAAGCCGAGCAGTGCGGATATAGAGCAGGTGAGGGAGCTCCTCAATATGATAAAAGGCATGAAGATGAACGACAGACTGGTGGCGGCGAGCTTCATAGTGCGTCGCGTCCAGCCTTGCAAGGAGAGGGCCCATGCGGGCTTCGACTTCAATGGGGACACCGACGGCACCCAGGAGAGGACGGAGAAGCTGACGAGGAACGATGTGCTCGAGCGGGCCGTAGAGCTGTTCGCTCCAAATGCCTCATTCAGCGTATCCGAGCAGACTAGGGCCTACAAGTGTACGAACCCCCCTCCTTAGGTAAACATCCCAATTATTTGTTCCTAATGCTTTTTTATCTTGTACCATTGCCGAGCGGTGAACTAATTCACTTATGGAAAGATCCATTCGTAGGAACGAGCGTTGTACTTCTCGGGCGTGCCGAGGGGCGATTGGCCTCAGGCAGTAGACGCCTGGCCACCAGCTCAGCCTGAGGAAGGTGCCGTTAGCGCCTCGTCAGAGTCCGAAGGCACAGACGCTGGTTGGACAGAGAGTCCCCCCCGGTGTCGGAGAAAGTCCGGGGAAAAGGGCAGCGGTAGATGAGCCGGCCCAGAAGAAGAGGAAGACGGTGGGTGTCGCCCCCCATAAACTAGGTGGCATCTCGCTTGGCGGTGACCGGACCACTCGGACGCAGAGTGCGGCAATGTTCGAGTGGTCGAACGACGACGGGGCTCCAGTAGCTCCTCGTCCGAGCACTGAAGCACCTCCACGTAGCATGCACGCGGAGGAGCGATCAAAGGGAGGGGAGGGAGTCTCCAAGCAGCAGGCGAGGGGAATCTCGGAGCAGCAGGCGGAGGAGAGGCCAATGGCGGAGACCGCAAGACCTCCACCCCAGGGCGCAGGAGTTGACCCCAGGGCCGTGCCTGGGGGCTCAGGTAGGCAGCGCCGGTTCAGAAAAGTTTATCGACAGGCCAACACGTAAGTATCCTTGCCTTTTTGTTATTTTGCTGTCGTATCCTTGTCTCTTTCAACGATTGACGAGCTAATTTGATGCAGAGTGAGGCGTACGGAGGAATTGAATCCGTCCGCCCAGATCGGCGAGCAACCGAGGGATGGTCCCGGCGTGGAGGCGACGCCGGTAGATCCCATCCCAGAGTCCCCGGGTGGTCGGCAGCCTGTGGAGGAGTCAAGCGCCCCTGTTGGTGGACTTGGGGGTAGCGAACGGTTGGCATCGACGGTGGATGGGTCGGCAGCGGTGCTCGGGGCAACGGCGGTAGCCGCCGGGTCTTCGGAGGCGGACGCGGGAGTTGCCGACGCCGCGCCGGAGTCTACAGCGGATAAGCCGGTGG